CCCTGGGTAGTTCTTTCTGTGGAAGAGTTGGGATTCTCTCCGAGATGAAGCTGCTAGAAAGGCATGGGAAGAATGCAACATCCTGGGAGGGCCCCCTCCAGATCTCTGGGCCCCAACCCCTCAGACCCCAGCATGCCCTCACCCCAAAAACATGGACAGGAGGTACCTCTCTGAACTCTTGGAGATGGCCAGGCTCCCCCTCTCCACCACCAGGCTGCTAGCCTCCAAGGGGGGGCCCTCTCTCTCCAGAAACTGCAGAGAAAAGAAGGGGGTCTAAAGATGTTATTGAAGAAGGGCTTTTTCTTCTGCCACAATCTCTCTCCTTCCATCCCATTCTTTCTCTCAGGGCTGGAATCCCCAGACAGTGCTGGACTTCAACCCCCAGCATTCCTCCGCATTGACCATGTTGCCAGAGGCTGCTGGGATTTGCAGTCAAACAACTCCTGAGGGCTCCAGGATTCCCACCCCTCTTCAGAGAAGGCCCAACTGGGGACCAAAACCGAATAGCCTTACTTTCTTGGATACCGACCACTGCCTTGGCCCAGCTTCTGTGAGAGACAGGGAGCAAATCGGATGGAGGAACCCAAGGAGAAAAGTGGTCCATCTTCTTTTTGACTTTACCCAAGTCAAAAAAGAAGCACAATTAAAGCTCTGGCAGGCCATGCAAAAAGAATCTGCGAACCCCACCTCCTCCAACGTGAACCATCTAAACTGGGTTCAACAGACCTATGGCTACTCCACCACCGACATCAAAAGAGCTCCAAGACTGAGAACGAGCCACGAGAGTAAAGACAAAGATCCACCCAGAGGAAACGTGTTCTTACCAAACATCAAGGGAACCACTGACTACAGAGAGAGAAGCTGATGAACAAACACAACCTACAAACTATCTACAGACCCACTAAGGAAATCCAACAAATGCTACATTCAGCAGAGGACAAGAGGGATCCTCTCACCTATGCAGGAGCTGCTGTATATCATGCAGCTGTGGATAAGTCTACATAGAGACCACCAAATGCAGCATTGCCCAGACACAAATCAAGGAACATGAAAGGCACTGCAGACTCATTCAATCCAAGACGTCAGCAGAGCACCTGATGAACCAACCTGGGCACAGCATATTATTTGAGAACACAAAAATGCTGGACCACTCTGACAACCACCATGTCAGACTACAGAGAAGCCATTGAAATCCACACGCATGTCGACAATTTCAACAGAAAGGAGGAAACCATGCAAATGAACAATATCTGGCTACCAGTATTTAAAAAACTGTAAAATCAGGACAGTAAGTAAAGAACAACACTCCAAAAACAGGGGAATTCCAGACAGGAAACAATCAGAGCCAGCTAAGCACCACCCAACAAAGGATTCCCCCAGGCAGGAAACAGCCAAGCCTTCAGCTGCAAGGTAATTCAATGCCAATCGAGGTGATCATTTTTTTTTTCAACATTCCATTTCAACATTTTCAACCCCAACATTTTCAACATTCACATTTGCCTCAAACAGACAAGAGTTCTTTCTCCCACACGAGACATTTCACGGACATATAAACCACTTGCCTTGTTTCCAACAGACCTCACAATCTCTGAGGATGCTTGCCACAGATGTGGGCAAAACATCAGGAGAGAATGCTTCTGGAACACGGCCATACAGTCCGGAAAACTCCAATCAACCCACTTCTTCAATGGCTTTGCCCAGAACTAGACACAGGGTTATTCCAGGTGAAGAGGTCTGACCAAAGCAGAAGGGAGTGGGACTAGGACATCCCTCCATCTCAACACTGGGCTTCCATTGATGCAGCCTAGAACAGCCTGGACTTGAAAAGCTGCTGCAATATACTCTTGACTCATGTTCACTCTGCAGCCTGTGCCGTCCGATGGAATTAGCACTGAACTGGTTTTTAATTTTAAATATTTATGACTGTTTTATAGTATGATGTTTTTGTTTAAAATATATTTTTATATTTTTATAATTTTATGTCTGTAATTGCACTGTTCAACCTATGCTGGAACCCGCCCTGAGTCCCCTTGGGGAGATATAGCGGTATACAAATAAAAGATTATTATTATTATTAAATATTTTATTTCTCAATATTATTCACACATTAATAGAAGTAGTTTCATCGTGCCAGCATTCTTGCAAAAACATATCAGAAAGGCAAATGTCGCTTTTTCACCTGATGACTTCAACCAGCATTATAAATATTTGCCCAAACCAAAAGGCATTTCAAAATCCCCCCCCCCCCCACTACCCCCGTTTTGTACTTTGGCTATCACCCCCCCCCCCTCCTGCTGAGGGGAGCGGGTAAGCATACATGTAAGACGTCTACTGACATTGTTCTGTAGGGATATATGTGGATTAACTTTGCTATACTTGCTCCCCCCCCCCTTCCCCTGTCCTCCCCTTCTCCTTTCACAATGTTATTTGTACAACTTGCAAAATCCTAATAAAAAATTATTAAAAAAAAAATGAGAAGGTTCCTGAAGTCAATCTCCAGAGGAGACTATATGTGGCATCTTAGTTACTTAGATCTGGACCTAGGCAATAATCCACCCTTTGAAATTATATCTGGAAACATATTGGTAGCTAATTTGAGTCTTATCACATAAAAATAATATGATGACTTGGGCTAGGTTTCATCAGTAGTTTGGCTGCTGTATTCCAAACGAGTTGGTGTTTCTCACTCACTCTTCCTAGTCCAGATCCATAGCTATCTGATATCCTGATCCCACTATGCTGCTAACAGCACTATATTCTATTTATGCTACAATGAAATTCTAGGATTTGCAATTTATGGAGAGGAGGAGCTGTGCACTCTTATTCAGGGAGTTCTTAGGCCTCACTAAACTATGAAGCCCAGGATGCTATCATGGCAATTAAAATAGAATACAGCACTAGAGCAGTGCAGTGTGATAAAGGAACCACTTAGATGTCACTACAACATGGATAATGATAGAACAGCCAGATTCCTTTCTGCGGAACCGAATTGACCTATGAACCCACTCATAGGTGATTAGAAGGTGACCCAGATGACTCTCCCTGCCTTTTGTCCAGCCAGAATGTGTGAATGAAACCCCTCCAGACACGTGTGAGCTAAGCAAGCTCACATGCCCAGTGGGGAGGGAGCAGAGGCAACAAGGGACCCCAATTTATGTGTAAGACCTTGCTGCAGATTATCTTGAAGGGACAGTGCATCCTGCTTGGTTGGGCTTCAGGAGATATCTGTGGGATGGGACTCTGCCAGGCTGGCAATATGGTGGCTCCACAGAAGCCAGTTGCCACAGTGGTGAGAAGAAGTAAGGGTCTATCCCTTTCCCCCCGTCCCTCCAGCACAAACCCCATCTTCATGGCAACACACACTCACCACTCTTTTCTTCTCTCTAGTTAAAAGGACTATGGTCTAGAACAGCAAAATTGATAGGTATTTCCCTCAAAGTGAGTGATGGGAGGGCGAGAATGCATTGATATGTTGAGGAAGGTTTTCTCCTCACGTGTTCAGTTGGGGAGGTGACCCCCAATACCTACGATACCACTGCATGTGCAAAGCCATTCTTTTGCTGGGGAAGGAAATAAACCTTGAAGATGACAATATAATACAGCTATGATGGCACACCAGGAAGATCTAATGAGAAACTAAATGTGTCTGGCTATTTTCCCAGTGACCATCGGTATGCCCTAAATTACTTTAATGCCCCCAAAAATGATACTCTACGGACAAGACTAAATTAACCAAATTGAGTTTACTGAATAAACAGGGTGAAATAAAACAAGGTATACAGAGGTGTAAATCTGAGGTAACAAATTTGATAGAGTTAGAACAGTGAAATATAAACTCTGAGGTAACAAACTATAAACTCTGGGGCAAATATATTCTAATCTAAAATCTATAAACTTTGGCAAATGTAACTATTCTATTACATGTATATGAACTATCTATCTATAAGGCAAATATAACTATTCTATGGCAAATATGTGATAAGGATGGCCTGTTCAAATTGCTAGGCCAGACCAGACACTATCTGGCTAACTAACTTCAAGCTATGACCAACAAAGAATGCCATAAGAAGTTCTATCACCAGCCCATTCTGGCTCTGAGTCAGAATGGGCTGCACCAACCGAGCTCGGCCTCTAGGGGGAACCTAAGCTTCTCCCCTAAACTTGGCAAAATGGAACAGTCCAACAGGCAAACAGGGAAATAAACAGGCCGAGACTTCACAACAGCCTCCATGTCCATTTAAGATTAAGATGAGATGGTTTTTAAAAGAAAGTAGCAATAAACTATTGTGCCACATACTAAGCGATTCAGGAGGGTGTCATTGGATGCTTTGGACAATTTGTTGAATTCCGAAAGTGCACAAAACCATCATTGCAGCATAATTGTGTTAGAAGGTCTTTGAACTCCACTAAAATTCAGTTGGATCTATTCACACTGTCCTAATGTGGATCACATGAATAATATTCCTGACTCTGTTTTATTTATTATGCTTGTTTTTTCCATAGGAGAAGACACTCTAAGGGCATACATTTACGAAAGTAAGTCGTTCATGTTTCAAAAGTTTAATGTAAGCTCTGAAGTAAATCAGTTGAAGACCACTGTTTCAACTAAGTTCATTGTCTGGCGTATTTACACATTTCAATAATATTTCAAGAAATATGTGGTTCTGAAATAATACAATCTTTTTGCAGTGTGGGATTTTAAAAAACCCTCATGGGTAAGAAAAGCCATACTATACATATTTTTATCACTTAAAAAGATGAACTGTGAATATATTAGGAATTTGTGTCCTGGGAATTGACTTGTCCATGTCTGTCAAGGTGAATGTTGTCACTCAGAGACAGGATACCGAGGGAGGTATCTTTAGGCACAGTAGCCTCTGAAGATGCCCTGTTGGAGACTCCTATCTTAAAGGCCTTCTAAATCAAATATTAATCTATTTCGATACAACAAATAAGTCAAACCTTCACTCCTGATGAGGTTTTGGATTTTAAAGATTCTGACTGTTTACAAAGATCTGGAGTTTAATTTTACCGGTGAGACACCTGCTTGTGCTTGTGCTCTGTGCTGAGAACATTTTATGCTGGGTTTGTATGGTGACATAAATGTAATATTTTCAAAAACATGAAGTATTACCACTAATTCCAAATATCTAGCTCTGTGATACCTTTTTCCTTACATGGGTTCATAACATCTGATCCTGAGCTCTCAATTCTCTTTATTAGTACCTGTAATGTACAGTGTGGAAAGTATACATCAGGAAGTTGAAGAGAACTGTGTACAGTTCTCATTCCTATCTGCAAATCTGCGAGGTGTATTTCTAACTGGCTTTGTGGCTGTAATGAGGAACAAGGACCTTCTACAARAGCTAGTGTTCCAGGTAAAGATATTCTCGTKGTGCGTTAGGCTCTTCCTTTGGGGCTAAGGGTTTCCTCATCATTTGTTTCCAGCTCATTGKCCCTCCCTTCACAAATCCTTTGCCATATTTTCTTTGTGGATCTCTCCCATTAGTGTCTTTCCAGCCCAATGTCATATTTGGAGGCATTCAAGATTAATCTCCGCTTCCCATTGTCAAGTGTAGTTCCAACCAAAACTATATCTTCTTTAGCTTTGGAAAAAAAAACATGTTAACATTGTCACCCCTGTGGTGTTTGTTTTGTTGTTTGTGCCCCTGTTCAGAAGATCTTGCTTCACTTTCTGTCCCTGCGATAACTGGATTTTGAAAAATGTGGCTTGTCTTGGAAACAAGGATTGGTGATGAAGCTTCAATGGAGAGACCTTTTCCCCTTGATGACYCTTCCAAGAGTGCATTTCCCTTCCTGGGGGTAGATTTCTCTCACGTCCGTTTGTTACAACCTTGTTCTTACTTGAGTGKGCTTGTAACTCGGGGACTGCCGGCAGCTATTGACTGGAAAATGTGTAAAAAGTTATTTACAAATTCCTTTGTCCTTTGAGAGAAAGAGTGAGAAAGTCACCTTGCCCAAAAAAAATTCATTACATTATTTTGTATTTCAGGACAAAAAGTTAACTTGCAATCCCCACCCTGCTTAAAAAAAAAACATTTTGACCTAAAACATTTTCATTTAGAAACCAATGCACTTTAACACAAAATGCACAAATACAGTGTTCTTTGCATTAAGGTTATTGTGTTTTTTCCCTGCAAAATCCAAGGTACTTTTGGTGAAAAATTAAAATCTCCAAATATGAAGAATAATTGAAAAATTGCAAAAAAAAAAATGAGTATTACATTATTATTATTATTATTATTATTATTATTATTATTATTATTATTACTATTATAGTCTTTTCTAAATTGCTGCCTTTCGCCCAATCCTGGGACTCAGGGCTAACGTTATAATTCTATTAAAATGCAAGTGTTAAGAACCATTGAAAGTATGCCATGAAAAAGAATAAGAGCAGTGGAATGAAAGCATTTGCAACTCTTTTGTTCTTGCAATGGAGGATGAAATATGTGCWAATTTTCTTCTTTGCACCACAGCAGTCATTGTTGCTCTTTTACAGAATATTATTCCATGGAAGCCCCTTCACACRTCCTTCAAAGGAATCTTATCGGCAGGRATGTTTAGGAGATTATCTGATTTATAATCGTTTTGGCAGGAAAATTAAAACTAACCAGTGGCTATCTATTTTATGTTTACATCAGTTCTCTCACATGAACTGATTTAAAGGACAGAACCAAACCAAATTCATCCTCAAAATTACTCCTTCATGCTCTTGATTCAGATTTCATCACATAGCAACCCTTGCTTTMATTTGTGTGCCMCTAAATCCCTGCATTTAGGTCCATGTAACTGGTTGGCATTAACATTATCTTTTTCTTTAYKYTATTAGCTGGAGGAGTCACTTGAAACCTCTGGCCAATGCAAGCTGAAGGCAGACGAGCCAGAATTGCAAGATCTGGTGGAGAATTTACAAGATCACAGTGGAGTCATCATCCCTGAACTTGCAAAGGCAGTTGTTTATTTTCTAGAAGCCTTGGATGGTAAGGATCACAACGTCCAAAATACAGTGACCATTTGAATGTATGTCACTAAAAGACCTTTCAGCCCATGAGCCTCTTCTGATTCAGTTGTACAGATGTTGATCTTGCAGATAAGTGCTGCATTTCAAATCTCAAACTGCTTGAAATTTCCCACAGCTCTCTCATGGCATATTCTCTTGAGTTTCTCACAGATTTGCCCAGTTACAACTGTGAGAGGACAACCACTCAGTGAAAAAGAGGTTTCTCTTCACTTGCATGTCCCAGCATTCTAGAGCAAACTATGGCTCTTTCTTATCATATTGCTGATAAGAGTAATCTTGTCAGCTCTCTGCTTCAGCCATTCTGCCCTAGTATGGAACCCTTTCCTTCCACTGATTGTTTCGCTCTCTTTCTCAGAACTGCAAGAAGAACAATTGATGCTCTTGGAAGAATCTCTAGAAAAAAAGATTGTCCCCAAGCAGCTGGAACTGGTAAGTGAGAACTCTAATCAAACATTCCCTACATGTTTTGCCAGACATGTCAATATTTATTTATTTATTTATTTATTTACAGTATTTATATTCGCCCTTCTCACCCCGCAGGGGACTCAGGGCGGATTACAGTGTACACATATATGGCAAACATTCAATGCCAAAAACACACAACACATATAGACAGTCAGAGGCTATTTAACTTTTCTGGCTGCCAGGGGAGCTGTCGCTTTCATCATCCAACTGCAACACTGATGAAGTACTTCCTCATTCCCTGCATGCTTTGCTGGAGTGCTTTGCTGGAGTCTTTTTTATGGCCTCGTAAATTAATTATATTAGCCTCCCCACACATAGGTGGTAGCTAATCTAATTTTCCTACTTGACAGATGCAACTGTCTTTCGGGGTGCAAAGGTCGACAACAAGCTACACAATTGGTCTGAAGCTCACTCTGACCTGGGCTGTCTTCGAACTCATGACCTTTTGGTCAGAAGTGATCTTAATGCAGCTGACACTCAGACTTAATAGATAGTAGATACTCCTTTTACAA